ATATATATATATATATATATATATATATATATATATATATATACATCGTACAGAATAATTGATAAAAATATAAAATTAAATGTGAATAAAAACGAGAATAGTTATATATTTTATAAAGAATTATGTTTGTTGTTATGGCAATTTAAATAATATAAAATGAAAATGAAATTATAGAAAATAGGAAAATAATTATACGAAAAATAAAATATTTTACCACAAATAAAACAGACTTATATATATATGTATGATTTTTCTCGAAAATAATCTACCAATGTGTATTTAGAAACATTGTCGATCTAAAATATGTGTACAGTTATATATATACTGAAGAAAATATATAGAAACATTTATTCGAAATACTACACGTGGAGACATCTGTTAGGAGTTACAGTAACTATAAAAGTATCGAACCTTATCAATGTCTCGAAGCAACGTTCGTCAATGCGGGAGGCCCCAACTTAACCCCAAAATAGAGTAAACATTTAATAAAAATTACAAAGAAAAACTTATCAATAATATTTCTATTTAATTTCGATAAAAAATAAACGTAACACGTATACGAATAAATAATTTTAATCTTATTATTGAAAGAAAGTCTGAATGACATAATTGAAAGGATTATTTGTTCCGGATAGTTTCGATACGCCTATTTATAATTGACGAATTATGACTAATCTTATTCGAAAATACCGAATCAGAGAAAAATAGATATGCGAATGACATTTGAAAAAATAATAAATTCACTTTAGAAGATAAATATAAAAAGTCGTGCATAGGAACAAGGGTGTGCAATAACCATGCAAAGCGTTGAATATTTCGATATAAGATTTTTAATTTAGAAAGATTCTCGTACTCACCGAATTGTAGAGGCCCTTAAGGGCCTATGCTGTGGATTCCAACAAATTATATTCACTTCCTTTAACACTGAATACTAAAAACACTCTTCCGAATCACTTGTCACTAATTAAAGGCCTCACGATGCCAGCCATAACTGCCATTTGGCTCTCGTTTACTACGCCAATCGCAAGATGGCAGAACGACGCAATGGAAATATACTTGTGAGTTTTCAACTAAGATTATATTTTCATTGACCGTATAGTTATTTGATTTTTCAATAAAATATTATTCAATTATTTTCTGGAAGAAATTTAATAATTATATGAAATAAACATAAAACTGTAATTAAAATATACTGTAATTAATATAATTAATCAAAATATATATATAATAATATTTTTTTCGACATATATATAAATTAATAATTATTATTTTGAGTAATAAAACTAAAAATTTCCAAAATAATTTAATTTAAATGAATATAATTTTGATGGTTTTAATCAATAAGTAATTAATTTATTAGTTTTTATAACTTTGTAACTTTGTAAGTTTAAATTAACCGCGTTGTAACTTTATAGATTCGTACTAGTTGTCGTACTGTGACTGTGCGCGAGAGGTTATATAAATTATAAAAAATGGTGAAAATTTTGAGAAAAGTGATATTTTTAGACGACTTAAAACCGATATATCATAAACCTTTCTGTATGTTTTAATAACAAATATCTAATAAATATCATACATGTATAATAATGTATAATTAATGTGATAGGGGAGAAGACAGCATTACTATGGGAAAAGTTTAAAGAAGCTAACCCTATATTAGGACTATTTGCACCTATTGCTGCAGTAGTAATTCCCACTTTAGGTGGAATAATATTTTATAACAAACTTCATGACAATCCTATTCCAAAATATTATGAGTATATTGTTAGTGAGTATTTAATGTTTATTTACAATTAATTACATTCTTATATAAGTGTTTATATATAGTGTAATGCTAACATAATTTAACTTCAAATTATATTAATTTTTTTAAACCATTGTAATATGAAATTTTATACTTATTAAATTTCAGTTTACAGACCTGACGATCCAAGAGTTCCGCATATTAGAAAAGATAATACATTGAAAATAGGAAAATTATTTGAAATGGATACAATACATATGCCACATTAGTTGTATGTTGCTTGAATAATATAGTAAATAAAAATCTGTTATTAAGTAAAATCATCATATATAATGGTTTTAAATCATTTTATCAAGAAACCAAAAATTAAAAATGTAGTAAGTGTAATTAAATTATAATGATATATTAAATAATTTCATATATTCATATATATATGAATAAGTTTCAATTATATATAACATATAAAAACAATATTGAAAATTATTTTGTAAATATTGTTATGCATTTCTATAATTAATATAAAATATTGGAACAAACAAAACTCTATTGCATTGAAAACTAAATCTAATAACATCGATTGTATAAAATTTTAATTTGTTGGATTTTCGTTAACAGATTAATTACTTATATAATATATATATTATTTTTTAAAAAATAATACAAAAAATTACAACTTTTATTTATTATTATAATTTAAAATTTGTATTATGTTATCAATTTATTTAAATCTTAAAAAAATATATTTACGATGTTTTTTTTTATATTGCATTTATTTATAAAAGCATTATTTTAAAAAAAAAAATTTAGTATAAAAGCATTTTAATAGATTGCATATACATAATATATTTATATTATGATTGAATATATTTAAATATTAATATATTTAATAAATATTTTAAAAGAGCTCAAAAGAGATAACTCAAAATTCAAACAACACATTTAAGCAAAGAAAAGAATGTAATAAATAAATGAAAAATATACATTCGAATTTTTGTGTTCACAAATGAAATGCGTATCAAATTTATTAAAAATTAAATTTAGAAATTTATAAGTAAATATATTCTATTGAAACAAAAAACAATTTATCAATTTATCAATTCTGAATATAAATTGTTTTTATCAATTCTGATAACTATAATACAAATATCAAAAACTTTTACTTGAAGAAATATCTTATAAATAATTAATAATAAATGAATTTAAATAATACAATAAAATAAAAAATCGAATTAATAGCTTGGAATAACAAATATTATTCGTATTAAAAAGAATTTTCAATTTAAATGTAAAATATTCGTAACGTTATTTCGTAATATATATAATAAATAATAATTGATTAAATGAAACGATGATTGGAAAAGTTATCCTTATTGAATTATTTGATTATAAATCGCTTATTACGACAATTGAAAGCAAATTTATAAAGAAATGCGTGATAAATAAATATTTATATTAACGATAAAAATTAAAAAAGAAAAAAGACAATACAATAATATTTACAATAATATAAAATTCAATATTAATTTCTATCAAATATGTTCTATAAAATTTCACACTACTACATATATATATATATATGTACAAATATAGTTATAATTAAAAAAAAGAGCCAACAATACAAAATAAAAACATTTGATACCAACAAAAAGATAATATTTACCCGCATCAAGTATGCAACAGTCTAACCTGAACCTGCCCTGATGTAGCAGGAGAATTGGTGTTGCATCTGATGGTAGCGCGCAAGATCGTGGGATCATTACGGCCTGTGTCTCTTTCTGTAACGTGCATATATCCCGTTACACAGACGGCGTAACAAATGGATGAAAGTTACCATTTGGTAGAATAGAAAAGAGATAAGAATAAGAGGAAGATGGGGCAGCAACGAAGAAGTTGACGATAGAAAGGATAGAGACAGGAGTAAGAGCAACAGGAAAGAGGATGGATGGAAAGCGTGAGAGAGAGAGAGAGAGAGAGAGAGAGAGAGAGAGAGAGAGAGA